CATTACATCTTGTTTGTTTAATCACTGGAAAAACTTCAAAACCAACAAGTTGAGATGTTAAAGGATTTTTTTTCTATTTATCCTGCACACTAATGTGCACACTAATCTTGGCTGGACTAGATATAGCCTTCTGTACATATTAAGTACCTTTTCAGTAAATAGCAAACAGGTGTCAAACTAGATTATTCCATTATTTAAAGCTCTAATGATGTTTTTTTGGCTTCTTGGTTGTCTGACTGTAAATGTTTTTGTTCTCGGGTCCTTCTCACTAAGACTACTTGGTTAAATAAAGTTTCTAAGTCACTATAAATGATTGTGTATAACAGCTGCAAGGTCAGTGGTCGTTTTGGGAATATCATAATAAATGAGTGTGTTAGCGAGAGAGAAAGAATGAGGGGTGTTTCCCACACAGGCGTGTGTAGACTTCCAACCATAAAGTCTACTGTACATTATACATCATGTTTACAGAGAGGGGAACCTGCCCATTAAACACACACACACAATGATGGAGAGGCCAAATTCCCCTTTTGTCACACTGAAGCTTTTAGAGTGTGTATCACTTCTCAAACTGCACTCCTCCCTGCTGGGTCTCTGAGACACAAATACAATGTTCAAGCACACACCCACACACACATATACACACATTGGCAGAGCAGTGACTGTTTGCTCAGCCTCCCACAGACAACAGTCTGATGGCTTTGATTGGAGGAAAGAGACAATGACCTTTCACCTTTGCCTCCCTTCAGCAGGAACACATGCAGCTCAGTGCCAGGGAGTCAAAAACAACAATAAATTCACGTAGTAACGGTACTGGACGCTCACACACACAGACAAAGTGACAGGAGAAATGACAGACCCATGGGGTGACAGAGTGTGACTGAAAATGAAATACGAGGGCTGCGAGGACAGTGGGAGGCCATATTTCACATTCTTCGTCACCCTCCCTATTAGAGAAAGACACTCTCTTCACCTCTGAGACCATAAACATACACACACTTGCATACATTTATACAAATGCACACACCTGGGTGACATGATCCTGCCATATCAGTGGAAACAGAGCCTTGTTTGTTTGTGTTCAGATATGACACACCTACACCATCTGAGATACTCTATACGACATTTCAAAAAAATCCAAGGTGGCATTGGCTGTTGTCCAATCTGAAGTACCAGCAGACAGCGCAGAGCTAGTCGCTCCTTTGGGCTGCGTGAGATTGCTGGTGCGAACAGTAGGCGCCACGTTTCAGATCATTGGGAGCAGATAAGGAGTTATCAGGACACCAACAGCTCAGGGGGGAAAAGGCCTCGACTGGAGATCCCATTAACACAACAAAAGCCTGCCACGCATACAGTATCACTGTCCATCTTTGCACACACAAACACATGACAGTAAACGTAAACATTGCTACAATATTTCATGTGTTGTGTTACTATGCTGTCACTACTGATACAATCTACCCCAAATCTATTTGAAACTGTAGGAAAAGATTAAGTTAATGTCGATTGTGATTCTGGTGTCAAAGAGATTATTTTTATCCGTTATTTTGGTGATATCTGGCTGTTTGACTTCCTATTTTGCTCAAGGCAGGGGTGAGTCAAGCATGTAGGAGGTTAGATAAAAGTGTGCAGGAGTTCAACCACTGCTAATGAGAGACTTGAGGTTAGAAGAGGGATTCCGTCGACTCAAAGCAGAAGCTCTGATTGTGAGAGATGGGAGGACGCACATTTGGGAAATTAATAAGTGGAGAGAGTGGGAGTAGGAAATGGGAGTGTGAGTGTCCCTCCGCGCCAAAGTTGTGGTGCAATTTTTCAAGCGTCCATGTGTATTGCCTTAACATGCACGTGTGAGAGCGAATGTGCATAAGACTCTTTTGTTTGTCAGTGAAAGGGGGAGTTAGCACATAAACGCTGTTTTCTGGTGACCTGGAATATTGGAGGCTATTTTTATCACATAGCTCATGTTTGTTCAATCTCCTCAAGAAGAAACGCCAGCCCCGCCATTTATCAACTTCCACACTCAACTATCTACGCACCCATCAGACCTTTTATGTCAAAGCTAATTGAGCTGCCTTGATAAAAGTCATACTTCAAGCCTATCACGCTGACACAACACAGCTACTGGAGTCGAACAGCTGCTATGCTTAAAGCAGAGCGTGTGGAGATCAGTGGGGTCAGCATGGTTTGGGTTAGACGTGTTCATGACAAACAGCCACAGTGTGTTCTTGTTGCATGAAAATAAATATAATACAGATGTACAAATGGATGTTAAATCAACATTTGTGTGCATGTTCACACACCTACACATGCTTACAGGGTCTTTGAGGAACATCAAATGACACCGGTGTGAGAAACCACAGTGAAGGATAGGTGAGGAATTCCTTCTTCCTGTCTTCCTCACTTGACTCCTCCGTCTCTTTCCTCTCTAGTCTCTCAAGGACTGATTTACCTCTCCTTGACTGTTGTCAATAACATGCAGAAAAATTACAACAACACATGTCCTCAGGGTGTGAACGACCATGGAGATAAAAGTCACTGTGAGCTAATCTAAAATACTGTTTTTAGAAACTCTTAACTTCACATCAGGGTCATAAGTGAAGAGCTGTTTGTGAATTTGAACTTGATAAATGATGCAACTTTGTCAAGGCGCTCAAAGAGTCTTAACAAAAATACACAAGCGATGTATTCCAGCCTCAATTGTGTGTTAGAGCAGAGCAGATTTTTATGCACATCAAAGTAGGAAATCAGTTCGATTTGATTAGTAAAGGATATGAAAGACACTTATGTTGGCACACACAACATTGCCAAATGAAGGGAAAAATTGGGTCTGTTTTGATTTATTCTTACTTTTGCTACTACTTCCTCCTGTTACAGACTACCAAACTTCATAACAGATCAAACTTAACATTAGCCATTCAATACATGGTCTATATAAATAAACTGACTTTCCCTGACTTAAAGGACCAGTGTGTAAGGATTAAATGGCATCTAAGAAGTTGCAAGTTAACAACTTAGCCTTCCAAAGCGTGAAGAAAAAACCTGACGAATGATCACACCCAACAACTCGCCCCCCCTGTATCGTAGAGCCCCTGTTTGGTTTTGTCTGTTCTGGATACCCTGTAGAAACATGTCACGTTCACATGGGCACGCAACTGTAGGAAGAGAACTCACTCCTCTGTATGATAAAAACGGCTCATTCTTAGGTAAGCGAAAAAAACACAACAATTCTTATATTATGGTGATTCAATCCTGCTGTTTATTAATGTATACAGAAAAACTTATACCAACGAATTTGATATTGCATTCTTTCCAAATAGATCATACATCTCCCTAAATGTTACACACTGGACGTTTTAAAAACAAAACTAAGAGTCTACTAAATAACTTATGAGAAAAAAGAACTGTTATGGGTAATCTTGTAGCATTATGACGCCAAAGGAGAGGAAAGTGGAAGCTTGACAGGGTCTGTGTGTGTGTATGTGTGTGTGTGTGTGTGTGTGTGTGTGTGTGTGTGTATAAAGATAGTGAAGATCATGTGATCAAAGTAAGATTTACGCACAAAACTGAATATTACTCCATAAAGACACCAGTGGTTTTATTATTAGAAACACATGCTGTGCTCACACATATTTCATAAACCAACACAACTTAATTTTACATTCCAGTACAGATCCCAGAGGTTTTAAGAATGCCAAGTATTGTGCATGAGCGAAGATTTTGAAGAAACATGATGCACAAGACATTTAATTTACATTTTTTTGTCATGGTCATCATCCATAAAAACATGGCGTCTTGGGCTTGAATGTTTCACTCAGTAAAAGCATCTAAGGGTTTGTGTGGAGTGTGAGAAAAAGGGAAGTGAAGAGAGGGTTGTTTTTCAAACTTTAAGCTACTTAAGGAGTAATTTAAGGTAAACTACAGGATTTAAGAGTTTAAAAGAGAAATAGAGGAAAAGGAGAGGTTTACATACCATAAATTGCAGTTCTCTTTGTATGTTTGCCCTGAAAAGAACTTGTTTCCATTTCTTTCGCAGGTGCCTGAGAGGAGACAAAGAGGGGCAACTTAATATATCTGGGTTTGATGTGGCTAAACAACAATGATCCTACCACTAATCCAAAATAAAGCCACGCACAGCCTCAAATACAGAGACAGAGATGCAAAAGTACATATACAGCGCTCACACTTAATATAATGCAATTACACTGGCTAAATTCCTTCACTTGCAACCACAATAAAAAGTGTTAACAGTAACTCCCTGGTGTGTGCAGTGTGTGTGTGTGGGTCTTTGTGTGAGTGTACACACAGAATATGTGAGGTCTAAGGAGCTCTGAGCTCCAGTAATCCAGTGTAGGAATGTGGCGTTAGCTTCTTTCCTGCCTTCCCAGGCTTCCTGGGCCCTCGTCATGCTTTAACCAGCTTACGCTCCTGAGACTGAGGGAAGGGGGCCGCAAAAGCAGCCCGTCCATTACCTCCACAATTAAGCACCAAAAAATATATTAACATCTGTGAGCTGCAGTTGTGCGATAAAGTCCACTCAGCATTGTGACAAACCACAAAAATTATTCAGCAGTGACGCAGCGTTAGAATTCCTTTTGAATGAATTTGACCCATTACACTTGAAGTTTGAACCCTGCTCACTCACAGATTGTGAAAACTATATTGACTTGGTGAAAGATTCACAGTGAGGTTTATCTACAAGCTGATTAACAGTGATAGGTGTTGTCAGTGTGAATTTTATGTGACAATGTACAGTGTGAGTAGGCTTTCCTGTGAGGCCCAGAGGTTATTGTGTGATTTATGACTGAGGCCCTCTGATACCCATCTTCCACCTCTTAGCTGTCTCACACAGTCTTTCACAAGTCTGAACTCTGCAGAGCTGCAGTGTGACAAGTTACAAATTATTTTATAGATGGGGATTCCGTTGAACTCAAAGTCTGTGATTTCATGCAATAGGTTTACATTTTTTACATAGCATAGCTTTGAATTCTGTGAGTGAATATTAGAAAATGACTCACTGACTTTGATGATATAATGAGAAAAGTCCAGCTGAACAAAGACTTAAATATTGAGTAACGGACTACAACAATCTGTGACTGCAGGGCAGCGAAAATAAAAAGGACCTATTGTACAAGTTTGTCACCTCCTTCCTTTTGAAGCACCTCAGCTTTCCTGCAGGCTGTGTGACCATGTGGTCAAATGTATTTGTGTGTGTGTGTGTTTGCTCACACTTAAACATGCATTAGTGTGTGCATCCCACCTCGTGATTCTCTTAGCTTATCGTCCAGGGAGCACATACCTGCACCAACTCCTCCCGCCTCCTGTCCTGCACCCGTTGTCTGTCCCTCCCTCCACATAGCCCACATTCTTTCTCCTGACCTCCATTCATCCCTCCATCCACCCCTCCACCCTCCCTCTGTCTGGGTTAATAAGAAGCCTACTGTTCCCTGTACTGTTCTGTTCTCAGGTGGGCCTCTGCTGTCGCTGGCACATTTTACACCTCTTTTTTGAGAGAATAGTACTATAACTGTGTGGGGAGTCCAAATGTAGTAGACTGAATTGTTACATAGTTTGGAGAAATGAGTTGAATCTTAATGTATCTGATTTGGGACTGAACAAATATGATCAGCATTATCATTTTATGATTGTTTTTTGGTAGAGCAGGGGAGTTTTTTTTTTTTCTTATCTTCTATTTTTATAATGAATAAATATAATAAAAAACAGATCAAACATTCATGTCTACCCTGGGTCATAAAGTTGTGTTTGGCCACATCCAAAGGAAAACAATCCTGTCTCAGTATCAGAGCTTTATTTATCCTTATCTGAATCAAACAAGTCAATCTGTCTGGGCCTGAGAGTGGCTGTATTTTCAGCTCCACTACCCACTCCAATCATTTTCATTCTGTCTATTATTTTAAGTATGTTCCTTTCTGGTGAGTTTAATTAAAAGAGAGCAGGTATATAATTGTAATTCAGTTTCATGTGTCATGCTGCTTTGCACTGTGATCCAGCACACAGTGTGTCAGTGGGGTTCTGGGCAGCTCTCTGGATGAGATTAACTAATAACGACAGGCCCACACTGATACACACAAAAACAATTACAAATTTGCTTGTGTGGCCTCACTTACCAATGAAAGGTGGCGCCACCCCTAGACAGTGACCCCAGAAGTCAGGGCAGCAGTCGGAGATTGTGCGATTGCAGAACAGGTCGCAGTAGCAGATGGTGTCCAGGTAGGGAACCGTGCACAGGTCGTCTCTGCCAGGGCAGCAGCCTCCTCTCCTCTGGCAGTAGGAGCCAAATGGGTCCCTGATGCCGCCAACATGGAGGGGACTGGCAAGCTCTCGCTTGGTCCTTCTGGATAGGATTCTCTCTGCAGTGCTTCCTCCCACCACCAGGAGCAGCACAGTCAACAAGAAGAGCTTCATGATATATCTGTAGGAAGGGGACAGAAGATAATGCTTATTCTTGTAATGGATATATGATGAAGTAGAAGTTGGCTTGCTTTTCCCAAGAAGAGACACACTCCAAATGCTTCACACTTGACAGAAAGAGAGGTTGCACTGTGAGCAGCATAATTGGGGTATGACTGCTGCCAACACATTGTCCCACCTCCTGCTGTGTAATTCACATACACACTGATGCATATACACACAGTAGCACACATACACACACACACAAAAGATACATTTAAACAGAGCTGGTAGCAAGTGGTCTAAATAGAAACCCACATGATCCTCAGAGATCATCCGCTTATTTTTCCGACTTTCCTTTCAAGCAGCCAAGACAAACAGCAGCTAAATTTAAAAATGCCCTCAGTAAGAAAGTGATGGAAAACAAGTATACAATGTTAGAAACACACAGGTCTTGAAATGTCTTGATGATGTATGACAGGGTCACTTCACGTCTCAGGGTGAGAGGTTCTTTAGCTACCTTTTTTATACCCTCAGCCCTTTATGTGACCCCGCTGAATATGTGTGTAGTTCCCACATTTTCCCTTCATAAGTGTATGTATAGTCCCTGTACCCCACTGTTCTTATATTTTAATAGGACCCACCAGTGCATGAGGGAGGGGACAGTATAATCGGCGATTAGCATGCTATCTCAGTCATAAAGAAGTAATGTCCTACTGTCAAAGCTAATCTGTCATACTTGAGGAAATAGCCTACGTGAACAGACACAGCCCACATCAAGTATTAATGGAGCTAAGAGACAATGAAGTTTATCTAAATGGGCATGGTAACAGCGCAAACCATAAACATACAGTAAATGTCTGTTTGACACAGTCATTGAAACTAACAAAATCACAAACACACACACACACACACACACACATGCTCCATCTGGTGAGGAAAATCAGCACTTGATGATTTGAGAAATTCAAAATAAAAGTAACCACTAATTTTTTTGGTCACTAATATTGGTATATGCACGTGTAACACCTTCAGTGACGAGGTCTAGCAATCCACAACTCTCACTCTTAGGTTTAACAAAAGTCAAACTATCACCCATATGCTTGTTTGTGTGGATGCGTATGTGTGAGTACTGGTCTCAGGTTACTGGAAGGGCGCCTCTATGTGGGGCCGGACAAAGACGAGGGGTTTGCCCGCTGCTTACATAAATGGCATAATTAATTAACCAATAAGATCTCAGAGCATAATGGACACTGCACATAAAGTGGGGCTCCGGAAAAGATCTTTGCTGTGTTGTTTTCTGCATGACTGTGCCTTTAGTTGAAGCACACACACACACACACACACACAGCATATGGCAGCATGGGATGGGCAGGTCTCCTCCTTTACACAAGTGTTTTGTTGTGGCAGACGCTGAGCAGCAGTGCAATAAAACACCCACCAGTCTGCTCAGTGAGCTGCTGAGGCCTGCAGGTCAAACTGGCACTGTGAAAAAACATTATCAATAACTTTCCTGTGCATGGCAACATTGGCCAAAAAAATCTCCAAGTAGCTTCAATATAGTAAAATATTTGATTGTGTTTAGTACAGTTCTCAGGTTAAGCGAGATCATATTTATAACTTTAGCCACAAGCCAAACATATCAACTGGCTCCAGCCCCCCAAGACCCTACAAAGGATACGTGATAATAGATAATAGATGGATGGCAGACCAGTATAAGATGCCAATCAATAGTTAGTAGAGCTTTCAATACTTAATACAATAATGTCTCAGCTCCTTTCAGTCTTCAGGGTTTTACAGAGTGTCACAGAAGCTGCCACATGGCCCATCAGCACTCCAGACAGCTGTAGCTAAGCTACTGTTCTCACACTGCAGACACAGGGAAGATGAACCCAACTCACACACACACACACACACATACACACAGATATACATAATGTTCATACACACATCACACAGTAGAAGTAGAAAAGCTGCAGTGTCACTGTCTCAGCTGAACCCTCATCACAGCTTCAGGACCAACGTGAACCAACAGAAACCTGCATGATCTCAGTAAACTGAGAATGGCTGTTTTTAAAGGTCACTTCACCCAGATTAAAAAAGACTTCCTCTCTTAAGTCTAGTGGCGTCTAGTCATGCAGTTAGTTTTGTTTTTATTTGCCCTGTTTTTGATGTAAGATTTAATTCAACAGCAGCAGTGTCCAGGCAGTCTTGATAATGCATATACCTCAATGAGAACACTTTAAAACTAATTTCTACTTAAGAAACTGTCCATACAAACAGAATTTTAAACATTTTAATTATAATTTTTCAATGCTGCGGCCAACATTAGAAATCGACATGGCTTCTAGAGGTTAGTGAGAAATGTCATTTTGAAATTTGGGGGAACCAAACCTTTCACTGTTCCCTTCTAACACATGTCCTATGACCCCTCTCTTTCACTTTCCTTCACACAGCTGAACTTTGAGATATTACTGCACCACCCACCAGATTATTCAGGCATCTTGCCTCAGTGTATCTGTTTAAAAGCCCTTTCAGCTTAATTTCCCTCTGTGTCACACAGTCCTTGACGAAACACCCACCAGGTCAAGGTAGTGGAGAACAGAGAACATTTATAATATTGTACAGGTGTCTAATAAAGCCTGGACCACAACAGGTGAGTGATGGGATGACTATTATCACTCTCGATGTGAATTACACAAGAGGAGCAGCCACAGACTCTCTGGACTCGGTGACCTCTTGGAAGAAAGCTCAGCAGTCTTACTCATATTCTTGAACCTATAAATAACATCTTGAATAAGGTGTTCTACAATCCCACACCCAGAAGGTAAATATGTCGTAACAGTAATTATTTTACTAACTTTAGTTCTGTGCCCTTGGCTAAATAAAGGAGCAGAAGTGCAGAGGAATTAGATCTAATCTCATAAAAATAATAATAATGATTAGCAAACGTATAAATCAAAAGAGCTTAGGAGTTTTCATAAATCAGAGAGTTATTCTGGGTAACATGAGCTCAGTATAAACCAGGCTGTGACGTTCAGCCTGCACCTGCCCGACATAAAAGAGGGCTGCTGTTGGAAAGTGAAGAAAGCTGAAAAAAACTGTTGTTACCTTGAGTTAGAGAGAGAAATCCTGCTTTTGTAATCCGATAGAAAACCGCAGAGCTTTGCTGATGTGTTGCACAGGAAGTCATTCACAGGTAGAGGAGGTTTGGGTAAAAGGTCAGTCTCCTCTGTCCACTGTTCTTCACTCTCTCACAGGATCTGGTCTGTCAGACTCTGTCTTCTCTATATACAGGCAGTCTGCAAGGGCTAACCACTCCCCCGCCTCCCCTCCGGAACCCCCCTTCACTCTTTGCCCTGTCCCTTGCTTCACTGCCTCCTGCTCAAATCTGTGCTCTCTCGCTCTCTCTCTCTCTTTCTCTCTCTCTCGCATACACACACACACTTCTTTCCCTGACTCCCACAGGTTTGCTATCTCTTCATGCCTTTCTTTTCCTTATCAGAATACAACCACTGATATGAAAGTGAAATGGGTTTTTGCACTCAGACACGTCTATACTCACTCTGCTGCTTCTTCTTCTATTTTCTTTCCACTGTAGCTTTCAGTGACAGCGGTTTCCCCTCCATCTGTGGCTGCAGGGTCAAATCTGCTTGTCCCTCTGTGGTAGACACTGTGGTGAGTACTGCTGACCTCCAGGCCACCATCTAGTGGTCATAGGTTGCATATCTTCACCTCACACAGCCAGAAAATTATGGGATAGCCCGTGGAAGACCTCCCAGCTTCTAGAAAAGTACAAACTAGCCTCCAGAGGGAAGGTTTTGGCAGGTGCTATAGGGAGGCCAAATACTCTGAATGTACAAAATATTACGAATGTTTTCTCTCGCACCACGTGTCAGTTGTTTTGAATCTGTTTACATAATTTGCCTGGATTTTGTAACATCTTCCAGATCAGGAAATCAAAATGGAATGGTTTGTTTTTGACTGCAGGTCACTGAATTCTTTATTCTTTTTCACTGAGCTTTTTGTCATTCACAATCCATGAATTAAGCAATTAACCCTCTTGTGTATGTATGATTCAGTCTGCTGCTGACACAGTGCACACAATATCAGCAATTTCCACTATTATTGCTTAAGTGTGCATGTTTTGTTTCTGCTTTCTTTGAATTTTTCTGGATAAGAATGCTAAATAGGTATTCAGGAGGCTGACATGGTGGTCCTGAAAGAGACAGCTGTGCCACAGACCCCCCTTTGGTTTGATCAATGAGCTAAAGGCTGAATCAGTGGGGGGTTGGCTGGGCAGGGCAGGGCTCCCCAAAAGTCATTTCTGGACAAAAGAGGACAAACAATGATACATAAACGTCAGTATGTTGACTTCGCTCAACATAAATAGCACTAAAATGCCCATGTTGATTGATGATTGATCAGTATTAGCCAGTGCTCAAGAGACCCAGTGGTTTTCAGATCAGAAAAGGAAAAAAAAATCTGAAATGAGTAAGGGAAATATATTAATGTCAATCATACAGTTTCAAACATTCAAACAATTGTCATTATATCGTGGCTGACTTCTCACCACATTCTGCTGTTTTTATTGTTAAAAAAATGACTTTAAGACTTTCGCTCAAACTTTTAATTCTAATATGTTGGCAATTATTTTGATAACCGAAACTGGTAAATCAAACAAATTTTCTGATTTCGGAGGGAATACCTGAATATAATTTATTTATTTAATTTATTCTTTTTTTATATTACAAGCAGAATGTCCAACTTGTAAAATAACACAAGGTACTCTTGGATGTGAGATGAAAGTGGCTTTTATAGATTTTCTTCTGCAATAACTTCCTGTAAACATCGATTGAAGCATCCCTAGATATGAACACGCCACACGCAATCTTTTGTCCAGCCTGTGTAAATAAACTGCAAGATTCAAAATGAAACTCACAGAGAGTTTCTGTCAGTAATGTGAATAAAGATGAGACAGTTCTGGGGGACAGTTTCAGTTTCTCATACAACTCTATAATTATGGGTTTAACACCTCTTACACAACCGCATACCTCCTGAAAAAAGGTGCTCTAAGCTATGTTTACAGTGTTTTATTGTCCCCACCTTCTCAATCATTATTGCAGGTTTTACTGTACATGTTGCTGTTTACCTTTCAATGAAAATCAGTTGTACCAACATGTGAAGAATGCTATTTTGCATAGCTACTGGCCGCAAATGACTCATGTATAGAAGAGTACGGCTGTGACGCTTCATTGACGGTAAATACACAAGTGGTTGATTGTACCCATCTGTAGGAGAAGGTGTGTGACCCCTGAATCAGAAGAGGAAGTCACCAGACAAGGGAGTGTGTGTGATTCATTTCCAGTTGAACCAGTGAAGACAAGGACAGTGAATCACCTTGGATGGCTGTTAGAAATATGTTTCACAAGATCTGTAGGCGGTGTGTTGAAAGACTCATGTATGGTTGTACATTCGCTATACGTAGGCCCAGTCAGGCCTGTAGTGACTCAGGCCTGTAACGAGAGATTAACTCCAGATGTTTAAACTGTGACACTTAATTCTTCAGGGAAAATGAATCAGATATCAAATCAGCAGTGCTTCTGTTTGTGAGGTCATTTCCCCCGAAAATAGACTGAACTGTGGAGGCTGAGGACACACATGGTAACAATAGAGCCTATACATAGACAAAGCGGGTGCCCTCTAGGGGAAAGGCAACATGCACACACACTCACATGCACACAAAAAGACAGTTGTGTGCAATTACATATGTGTGCACATTAATATCAATGGACTTTAAATGTGTTTAATAAGGAAACTGGAGGAAAAAAGAATCTAGCATTGAGATTGAACTTGACAGATACGTGGCGTAGACCAGACACAGGAGGAACAATCCCTCTCTTTCTCCCGATACTGGCATTACAATCCTCCCATGATCATAAGCAGTGAGGCCGGGAATCCCAGCTGCACTGTGTCGGGGTGGAGCTCTGCTCTCCTGAACCCACGGAGGAGTAGACACATATCATCCATGCCTCCGGTGCATTTCCTCTTCCAGGAACATGGAGGACAACTTCAGCTGATAGTAAACAAGAATGGGCGTGCTGACGGCACACACGTGGATGGAGTGCCGAGTGCATCAGCGACCTTTCTAGATGTTTTTGAAGCAGTCAGCAGCAGGATTATGTTAAAAACATCCATGTTAGTGTTGATGAGAAGCACAGACGTTTGGAGGAATCTCAGAATTTCACTGTACTGTTTGTTCTCTGTTCTGCAGCTGGAGCTATGTCACAGTTTTGTTTTTGAGAGCAGTCTGTGTACTTTTGTCTGGAGGCTACATGCCTCAAACAAAATAACCCTTACACCAAATACCTAATGGAGTGGAAGATCAGATACATCTATACTAGTCTTCTTTCTCTCTATAATCCACTTGTTCAGGTCAGTTTCAGTCTCAAATTCCTCTCATGTTAAGCAAAACAGGCCTGTGAGGGTATCTACATTTGCTTTTGTTCTGCATATCTCAATACAAAACACCTGCCAAACAGTCAGTGCGGCAAGGACAAGGATGGAAAAATACTCTTCTTTTCACCCCTGTACATTACTGCACTGATGTGCATAATAATTCATAAATAAATTCAATAAAAATGTGAGAAGAGTATGTTGGGTCAATTTTTTTCAGTTTCTGTAAATGACTCATAAGTGCGCACACAAATCTGAATCAAAAATAACAAAAAAAAATGTACAAAAAGGAGTTGCTACCTGGATTATTGTACATTCAGTTGAAGCATTTTTGGGCTATGGTGGAAAGGAGCAGTTGCAAGCAGTGTTTGCATCCTGAATGTTGTGTGTGGTCATATTTAGGCAACAAATGCACTTTGGTTAAGGTTAGGGGAAGATTGTGGTTTGCTTAAGTTGCTTGGGGAAAACAAATGAAGATACGTTTAGGATGAACATTTTGCGACTTGGCAGATATGTTCATTAAAGCCTTTTCCTCATTATGGTTATCGAAAATGTGATGGCTGCATTGTGTTTCCTTTAAAACATATTTACTGTTATAAATTAATATATAAATGGAATACCAGTAACTATTATGTGTGTACTCTTAAAATAAAAGTCCTTTTTCACAGTTCCCATCAAAGTCGAACACATTCATGATCTTAAGACGAAGAAATTGATTGCTCAGCATGTATTGCAGGATGTAAATTGCTGTAAAGGTCAGTCTGTCTGTCACTTCTGCCCCCCTCACATGTCACTGTCACATCAGATATATATTCATTGTGAAACCACTGACTTGCAGATTGATTATTGCTGAGTGCAGATGTGACAGATCCTGAATCATTCAGCCGTAGGAAAAACTGAATTTCGAAAAAGTCTTCAATCATGTCAGCTAAATTAAATGAGAGTTCTGCTTGATAAGATTTATTAATTACTGGACAAGCCCAACAGATGCTGTGAGTCATTATGCACTGGAAAAACAAATTTATTATATTATTTATTTGTAAAATATTGACTTACCAGAACAGTGTGTAGGATTTAGTGGCATCTAATGATGAAGTTGCAGATTACCACAACTGAATATCGCTCGCCTTCCAAGCGTGTAGGAAAAAACTACAGTGGCCACAAAATCTAGAGCCAGTGTTTGGTTTGTCCGTTCTGGGCTACTGTAGAAACATGACAGTTCAAAATGGCAGACTTCGTAGAAGAAGAACCGCACCCCCTTTAGATAAAAAACGTCTCATTCTAAGGCAAAGAAAAACACAACACAAAAACAAACTATTTTCAGGTGATTTTAAACTAATGAAAACATACCTGTGAATATTATAACCAATTTCTGCCAATAGATCCTAGATATGTTTCTTTTATGCTAACTAACGTCACCAATTATACCAGTGTTTAGCTTCTAAGTTTCTTAGCATCCCAGTTTTGGTATAGTATATATATATATATATATAATAATGATGATTAACAATTAATTGCCAAAATGTTCCTAAAAATACTAAAAACCCCAGCATGTTATAACTTATTTTGAAACCACACAGGAAAGCACTCACGCACACAAGAAAGTCTCATCGAGCACCATCTTGTTTATCATTAGTCAGATCTAGAATCATCAAATACAGTCACTATAAATCCATTCATAAAGAGCCTTTATCGCTTTAAATAAACTGCACGATATCTTCAGTGCCAAAGATTCAGATTATGAAACAAAGTCAGTGCCTTGAGGTGTCTGTCTAATTAAGTAAAGACCTCCAACATTTTGTTGCCACGACTATATTCC